TTATATGATAATCATATTCAGATTTATATAAGCATTTTACAAGTATTGCAATCATTGAGTAGAGATAATCATGGTATTTTCATCAGCTTGGTACTTTTTGAAACATGACTGTGTGGTGTAAACAATCTGCAATTTTTCAAGGCATGACAACTTGCCCCTGTTTAATTTTCCAACCAAGGCCACTTTGCTAAATACTGGGCCCAAGACAACTTTTCAACTGGGACAAAAGAGGGACCTTCTTCTGACCGAGCACTGCGTGGAGAAGGCTGCTTGTCTGGGTCTCTGGCACGTGCAGCTGAGCAAATGCCAGGGTGGCAGTTTCGAGCATAGCTGAAAAATTGCAGTTTGTCTGTGCATATGTTTGGACTCTTTCCATGTTGTCCTGTTTACAAGTTAACCTAAGTTGGGGTGTTTGTCACGGGTCTTCTTGTTTTTGTATTTAAATAAATAAAGCAGAAAACTGACTTGCAACAGTTTTGCTGCAGATAGTTATATCCTCATGTGTAATGTGCGTGCCTACTGGCAAGCACTTTAGTAAATTATCAACTCACCGCTGTGAACCTGCCAACTTGCTATAACAACTCTGCTTTAAAAAAAGTGTTTGTGATCAGGCTTTCTCTTTGTCATCGTATGTGCATGCAATATGATCAGTTGAACAATAACCATCAATAAAGTTTCACAAGATTTGAAAACGAAGTTTCTGTAGCATTTATATCTAAGAATGAAAAATAAATTATCTTTAAAATTGAAACAGAGAGAGAAAGAGACTGTATTAACCAATGAAAAATGGGGCAGTAACATGTATTTATACGAGTGAGGTAATGAACTAAAATTTATTAAGAGTTCAAACCCCACATTTATTATCTAAGATATACGAGACAAGCCTCCTATTTAAAGGAAAAAAAAAAAAAAAGTATATTTCATTAAAACAGGAAGATAAAGCACCTTGAAAAATGTTTACCAAGTGTTAGGCTTCCAGTTCAAAATGTAGATGATACATCTTTTGGAATTGCACACACAAAGTGTCTAATGTGGAGAATAATAGAATTTATTTGCAATTTTAATTTTCATGAGATGGCTTTACAACTCCCACTCCCCAAATGATTATATGGCGTTTTAGTCTATTCAAATAATCTTGAAAGGTTGAGGGTGCAGCCCATATTAGAAACTATTTTGTTTATAAAGCTCCTACAGTATTCCTAGTAGCCATTTTAAAATGTATGTCTGAAATAGTTATGTAAGAAAAGCGTTTGAAATTTTTTTACAATATATATTGGGAATGTTTTCACTTATATAAATAACTACTGATAATATGACTTATGAAAAAAAATGATTACTACCATCTGTGAAATATAGTGACTTCTAAACAGATTAAAAAAAAAAATACAAAAACCTACAAACCCAGAAAATGTGTATATCTGTCTTTAGAAATTAGTGTTTATATCACTACCGTGATTTGTGAATAAAGAAAAATGGTTTGTAATATCAAAATAAAAGCTTAGTCTGAAAAGGTAAAAATATGTTGGTGTTCAAAATCATTTTGCTTTTCCTTTTTTTCCTCTTCGGACTGCAGAGCCGTCCTGAGCAGCACCAGCTGTGCTGTTAGGTGAGCAGGTGTGACCTGGCAGGGCTCCTGCTGGGAGCTGAGGAGTGCAGCAGCTGGGTGGGAGTGTGTGTACATGTGAGGGTGGGGGGAGGAGGGGGGTGCTCACGTGTGTGTGTGCTCACGTGTGTGCGTGCATGCTGGGGCTGGGGGGCAGTCACCTTGCAGCTGGCTCATGCTGGGTAGCTGCTTTTGTCACAGGGCAGAGTGATGAAACTCAGTATGGCAACTGGGCTGAATGTTACCCCTCAGATTTATTCAGTTTTAAGTGTATTTTTTTCAGGCAACAGCGCATGGGATGTGAAGAAAGATTGTGGGTTTTTTTGTTGTCGTTGCCTTTTAAAATGACTGCATTTTTACAGGATATTTCTTATGTGAGAGTCTCAGATATTCCATGGGCTGCCTCTCGCCTCTGAGGTGAAGCGGCTGTGGGGGCACAGGGGGCTGGGCCTGGTTTGTGTGTGAGTGTGTGTGTGTCTGTGTGTCTGTGTGTTTCTTTGCTCTGCCAATGGAAGCTGGTGTGCTGGGCTCCCATTGCCTGCCCTTCTCATAGACATCTTCTGTTCACATCCAAGTGCAGAGAAGAAAGGAAGGAAGGAAAGAAAACTCTGCTCATCTTAAACGGACAGTGGTATTTCTGCTGTTCCACAAGGCTTCTGGTTGTCCCTTCCAGGTTTGTAGTCCTTAGGAATGACAGCAACATCCGTGTAGGTCTGTGCTCACATTCAGGTCCAACAGCTGTGATGAAGCCGATGTGTTTCATCATGCATGCTACAAGAATTGTTTCACTCCTTTGCCTGGGTTTCCATTATGTTGTGAATTAGGAGGAAAAGAGAAGACCTAAAGATACAGGATTAAATACTGCGTTCTTTGCAGTTCACAGCAAGCTTTACTCTAAAACCTATTTTGATCCTTCTGAGAAGGTGAAGAAATAGACCTCGATGTGTGCCAGCAGTGGTAGGGAGGTGTTATCTTATGCTTGCTTCATATCTTTGCACAAAATTTGAGCACTAAATGCTCCAGTATATGCCACGCACAAAGGATATATTGACAGTGCTTCCTTTGGTGGCTGGACAAAATGACAAAGGCAGTAATACTGAGAAAGAGTTGGGCAGAAGAAAGGTGAGAAGCGTGGGAATAGATAAGCAGGAGTGGGATGCACACACTGTGCCTGAAGCACCCTATAATTCATGCCACTGGATTCATCTGCCTGTTGCCCAGTATCAATACGATTTAAAGCAGGAGCGCTTCCTTTCTTGGCCAAATAGGCAGCATGTGGTAAAGTAATGAAAATGTGTATTTATTGAGGAATTGGCTCAAGCATAAGCAGAATATCAAATGTAACAAAAACAAACAAAAGAAAAGCAATAAGTTGTTAAGGGTATTTTTCCCAATTATTTGGAATTGTAGTGCAGCTTTCATTGCAGACCATGCAGCAAAGATCAGGTTTAATATTCTTATGAAGTCTCGAAATCACCACTCTGAAGTGTGTCCTGCACTGCTCTTTGATTGTCTTTAAGTGCATGCAGGCCATTTATTAGCTATGCATTCGAGTAAAACATTGTTTTTCAGCTAGAATTTTCTTTTACTCCTTGGAAGAGCTACTTGTCTTCAGCGCGAACTGCTGTTGTGTTGCATTGCTCTTCCTTGTGTGATTTTTTTTTGCCAGTTTGTCATGTTCTTTTTGCTGCCTTTTTTTTTTTAAAAAAAAAAAAAAAAAAAATTTACAGTACAGATGCATGAGGAAAAAAAAGAGGTTGCACACAACATTTCTTCTCTAAAGCAGAACTGAAATACCATTTTGGTAGGCAGAAGGGAGTGAAGAAAAGCAAAGAGCAACCTTGTTTCAGTTTGAAGGTAAGATTTGAGTGGGAGGTGAGATGAGAAGGGAGACAGTGATTTTGGGAAGTCTTTGAAGAATTTATGAAAGAATTATCAAAAAAAATATTGTTACCAGAATTATAAAAGTTTGCTGTAATGCTTTATTTCTTGCTAAAGGGCATAAGCTTCCTTTCACTGTAACGTGAGCTCTATTCCAAGTCTTTCTAGACTGGAACTTGAGTCTTTACAATACGTAACTTTACATATACATAGTGGTGGAGATGTTTGGCTTTAGTCTGAAACAGAATTTGTTTTCTGGAAGCTTTTATGACTCTCTATCACTTCCCTAGTGCTCAGCATAGCAAGAATTGTCTTGCAGCACTCTATGAAGAGCACATGAACAGGCTAGCATCAGAAAAAGCCCGTGAAGGCATTTTCTAAGAGGAAAAAGGCTAAAATCCATGAGCTAGTCTGTATTTTCATACTTGGAAAATAAAGGTTTTTATTTCATGCTGTTTTGTCTTCAAATGTGTGGATATGTACCCTATATCCACACAATGGGTG